GGAATACCTCATCCTGGTAAGAGAATTAAACATAGTTTCTCTCAAAGCAGTAAAGTATGGCAGAAAGAAAAAACATATAAGAATGGCCATGAAAGTTTTGGTTTATAAAACATCTCAGTGAAATATTTCTCAAAAGCATGTGCATGAACTATTTTCTGTATTCTGTAAGCCTCTAACTCTGACACAACTCTCTAAGGTCTCATAGTCTATGGAAGGAAAGTCCATTTCATGTCTGTGTGATATTTTTGGAGACTAGCTAAAATACTTGAAACTCAACAGTCAGTTCTAATGTACTTGTTTAATCTTTTAAGTAGCACAAAAAAATTTCAAGTACGATTCTAATGCATTAGGGGACAAAGTAATCATCCAAGGAAAAAAGATGCCCACAATATATAAACGGTGATTGGTGAGATGAGCATAATCTAACATTCTGTCAAAACACAAACATTTCAGCTTCAGAGCAATGACTCTAAAGAATTCTGAATCTCAGATACAAACAGGACAGTATCAAGCCATTGGAAATAATGGACACTTTGTAAACAGCTGCAGAACATTTTAAAAAGGGTAGCCTCCATGGTAGAATTAAGTTTACACAATAAATTATGATAAATGCTGTATATAAATTATATACAGCACTTTTGGTCCATAGAATTCTGATTGCTAGCAGGATTGTTACTGCTTCCAAAGTACTGCATTCACTTTATCCACTTTTATCCAATGTCACTCTGCTTTTTTCATTTGAAAAGGTTTTGCTTTCCACTCTCTCTTTTTTTTTTTTTTCTTTTCATCTTTATTCCCCTTTTTAAAAACATCTACAGACTATCACTCTACCTCTGCTGTCTGGCTGCATTTTTCCACCGCACTGACAAGTACCAGTGGATACAAGAAAGATGAGTTGTAGGCTCCTTTATTTTGAACCAGGTAGCAAATCACATAAGAATCTAGTGCATAATTCTGCAAGGCTAACCATTGGGAGCAGTAAAGACCATTATTTTCTCCCTGCAGTTGGCAGGGGTCAGCATCCCTGTCATTAACTGTGTCAAATTATAATTATGTAACTGCACTTTATGTGAGCAGATATCTGAAAACACCGTAAAGTTGCAAGTATGAAAATGTACCGATCCTTCTTACAGCACCGACTGACGCAGGCTTTAGAGGGGAAACTTCAGTATGGAAAGCCACAAGAATGTTATTTATTGCTCCCTACATAAACGTTTAAACTTATTGTTTGACTTCTTCAAGTACCTTGAAATCTCTGACCATATTCTACTGTTGCATTAATAAATTCTGATTAGCAAAGTTTTTTCTTCTTGTAACATGCAACTCAATTAGGGAATCTGATGTTTCCTAAAATAAACTTCCACCCAGCAGACTACTCCTATTAGCTGGTGAATGTCTGAAATGCAATTATGCTTCAAGTTTCAAGAGGCAAACGGTACAACCCCAGCTCTAAATCTGTCCATCCAGCATAAGAGCTCCACTATGTTATTTCAAAGGCTGACCTATATACTCCAGCATACCGTCCATTCTGTCTGTTTGTATAAGAGATACCTCACACAGTTGTCATAACCAACATTGTTTGCATTGTTCTTTTACTTTTCTCTCTCCATGGGTTCTGCGAGACAGACAAGGAAAAGCCTGCATGACAATATATGCAGAGCATAATGAGCTTTCACAGCAGATAGAGAAATATTAGACTAAGATGCTTAGAGTGTTATTTTAGGTTTATGAAATAAAGATCTAAGCAGCCTTCTGAAACAAAGCCTGCCAACTGAAAATTGTAAGATAAGACGCGAGTGTTTGAATCTACGCTGCTGCATTTTCCTTTGCCTACAGAAAACACGCGCTGTCAGTATCATCAATGCAAGTGCCTGGGTACTCACTCACATGATTTGCCCAACCATTTGGTCAGGAAAAGGGTACTAGAAAACTGAAAAGTTTAAGTATTTGTGGAATACTTTGCAAATAACCAGCAGCTCCAGCCGATTTAAAATGTAAGGAATCAAAGTCTTCCCTGTTTGCCAAAAATAAAAAACAAACCACCATCTCAGGGGGCAAACAAGGGCCAAGGCCGGCAGCAAGCGCCCAAAGCAAGTTTTTACTGACTTCACAGGAAGCAAGAACCAGTCCCAGCTGAGTTTCGTAATGTTTAGTCAGAGATAAGCAGCTGATGAAGACCACCACTCCAGTTCCAAACACGGACCCACTCCACTGCAGCACCCACTTCCTACACCAGGAGATCGGCTGCAAGCAGCCAGCCCACCTTACCTGAGGGATATCCTGCAGACCTCCCCTCCAGTTCCCCAAACACACACAGCAGGAGGATGAGTGACAGAGCAATACTGGAACGTGACTGCATGTTTGGAACAAGTCAGATAAGTTTTCGCAGCAATGTTAATCATGCTGGGTGAAGGGAGAGAGTGAAGGAGTGAAAAATGAAATGTTCAGTAAATGTACGCCTCCAAGGGGCCTAAGCAAGCTTCCTTTGCCCGTTTAATGTAATCAGTGGTCAGGGGCAAAGACATCTGAAAAAGACATTCATCCTGTACTCAGTACCTTATAGGAAACATTCCTGGTAAGTCTTCCAAGCAGAAAACATATGTCTTATGACTGTGCACTTTTAAGCACATTATCAGTTCAGGCAAAGTGAAATAGAAGAGTTGCAACTTGTCTCCAGAATGAGTGTCTCATTTGCATTTAAAAAGAACAGTTTGCTCCCTCATACATGGCATGACTTAAAAGAAGCTTTAACCAGCCAGTAAAGACATTCCGAAAAACTACTTTCTAAATTAATTTATTCGATTTGCAGTGCAACCCACCAAAAATGATTTAAGGAACTTAATTGGAAAATGATTTAATATATTAAAGTAATTCCTGATTTTCCAAAGCATTTAACTTTTAAATTAAATCTGGCCCGCTATCTCAAGAATGATGAGTGAAATGTGTATTCAAGTCATTACCTTCTTTTTGAAGCCTTAAATCACTGATAGGTTTAATAACGTTTGTCCAGTTTCACTGCCAAATGGGTCTTCAGACACTTTGGTACTTATGCCATTAATTTTAGCCTGGACTTCTTACATGGCAACACTTTATGGTTACAAGGTACAAAAACAGACAATAGAGGAAATAATGCCAAGTCGCAGATCAAGGGTAGCAGCCTAACACTATTCTGTGCACTTGAACAAAAAATTAATACCCGCACACATGCTTATATGCATCTGGGCTCCTCCTGCTGAGCAAAGTTCGCTCCTCACACCAACTTCCGATCTATGGGGCAGGGGACGGAGACTGCCAAACACTGCTACTGAACGCTGCTAACAGCCACACCTCTGGGATCTTCCGAAATATCCTCAGGCACCCACCACAAAGGGCCAGATTTATCCCTGAATTCTATAACTCCATTGAGTGTATGTGAAATGCACCCAGGCTGAATTTGGTCCTTCCTGTTGCGATTGGTAGATGAGACCATGTGGGAAATCTTTCCTGAAAACTGAGAGGGGTTCACCCCGCCGCCGCTGCCCCTGCGTTTTAACACCGGTATCTCCTATTTCGTCTTTTATCTCCGAATCTGGGCAGCTGCCGGCAGGGAAAGAGACGACTCCCAACACCTTCCCAACACGTGAGCCCAGCGTGACAACGGGCAGCGCTGAGCGGAGCTGCCCGGCGGGGTCCGACCCCGAGGATGCGCTCCGGTACCCCGCTGCACCCGAGGTCTCCCCGTCCCGCACCCGTGTTGCTGTGCTCCACGTAGATTTGATGCGAGAACACTCGTCTCTAAGCACACCTTGAGGGATAGCGAGTGCTGCAGGAGCGCTCCTGCACCTCCTGAGGATTTCCTACGGGCAGTGTTTCATTTGTGAGCAAAGCCCACTCCGTAAGAACACAGAAAGTGCAGCTCATGCATGAGCCACAGCGGCAGCACAGATGCTCTCCCCCCCAGTCCCCTGCTCGTGAGCTAAAGTATAGCGAAGTGCTCCGGGATGGCAGCACCGTAGTCCCTCAGCTCGGCCTGGCCTGGACTCTGCGGTGCCCCCCTCGGGGTGCGAGGGCTGACACCGAGCTCCGGCGGACACGGACCCTTACGACAAGTTGCTGAAGAACTGGCTGAGCAGCGGCACAGCGGGACAAAGTGAGCCTTTGCGTTGGACTGACTTGTCACCCTGTTTTATTGCGTGTGTACACTCTGTGTGTGCGCATGTATATATACACATACAGACATATCGGTATATATATGTATATGTGTCTGTATATGTGCACACACACATGTCACGGACACGCACACACAGGCGCGTTCCCGGCACGGCCAAGCACGGCTCTGACACATCAACTGTGGGGTTCGCGGTGGGGCAGAGAGTTGCTCAGCTAACGCGATCCCCATTCACAGCAGCCCTGGAGATCCAAGTCCTCCGCACCGACACCGCGTTGTTCCTCACCGACGGAACACGCCACGGAAAATACCCCCCCGCCCTCCGCCCCTCGCCCGGCCGCCCGCCCCCAAAGCGCTCCGGCTCTGAATTCGGGGTGCCCCGGCCCCGCGACCGCTGCCCGCCCGGGACTCCCGCAGCGCGGCTCAGTGCCCGCTCCGGCACCGCGACCGCAGCACAACCGACAGCGCGGAGAAAACCCCTCGGACGAGACAAAACGCGAGTCACCTTGTTGCAATAGTAGGGGTCCAGGCAAGGGGAAGGTCCCAAACAAGGCGTATCAGGAGCGGCCGCAGGCTGAGGAGGTGGTGAATAAAATCTTACGTCCATTTCACTCAAACATCAAGCAAACTCCTCTCCTTGTCTTTGGGCTGTTAACGTTGTTGGTGCAAAAAGGGGTGCGTGTGCGTGTGTGCGCGCGAGGGGAGGGGGGTGCACACAACAGGGCTGAGAAGAATGAAAAAAAAGAAAAAAAAGAAAAAAAAAAGAGGTGCCTGACTTCGGCAGTCAAAGAAACACCTTCCCTGCCTCACATCCGTTTGTGGTTTCTAAAGAGAAAAAAAAAAAAAAAAAAAAAAAAAAAATCTCTTCCAAAAAAGCACCGGTTTGCAGATGTCTGCGAGAGAACCAACAAACCCTCCTTCCTCCCGGCAGGGCAGGTAACTTCAGCACTTATTGTTCCCCGCGCACCGGCGCCGGGGCGCTCGCTCCGTGCGTGCCGCGCTTTATGGGAGCCTCGGAGTTGCCTCGCGTCTCCCTCCCTCCCTCCCTCTCGCTCGCTCGTTCTCTCGCTCGCTCTGTTCTTTGCCCCTTCCTTCTTTCTTTCTTTCTTTCTTTCTTTTTTTTTTTTTTTTTTTTTTTTAATTTGTTGTTATCTGTTTGTTTGTTTCGTTTGCTGGCGGTGTATTTTAGTTGTCCCCCCACCCTGAGGAGCGTGGTCGGGAAAAGCGGCAACGGAGGCCGGGTGACCCCGCGCACCCCCGCGGGGAGCGGCGAGCAGTCCGCCCGCTCTGGAATGGCCGCCCGGCTCGGCACGGCCCGGCACGGCTCGGCGGGCGGCGGGGGACGCGGCGCTGCTCCGAGTGTGCTTCACACAAAGGGGCTGCCGAGGGAAGAGCCATTTGCGGCCGCAGGGGACGGGGCTGGGAGTCGCGGAGAGGGGGCGCTACCGCGCCCGCCATCCCGCCGCCGTCCCCGCCCTTTCCCACCCGCCTCCCCGCCCGGCCCCCCGGCGCCGCCCGGCCCCCGCCGGTTACTATGGCGCCCCTTCCGCGCAGGCCCGACCCGGTTAGGCCCGGCGAACGAGGGGTGCGGTCCTGCAGGATGGTAGCCTGGGGTCGAGCCCGGTTGCCGCGGGCGGGTCCCTCGCTCCGCCTCTGTGAGAGCCCCCGGCACAGTTTCGCAGCTCTTGGCCCTCTTGCGCGGCTCGTTTGCCCTCCCCACAGCCGTTTTGCGCGCGTTGGATCAGGCCTATGGGTGGCTTTATTTCTCTGAGGTTCATCATCAACCTAACGGGTTAGGTGAGCCCTTCGCTTCCTGTCCCATCCAGACTTTGTGAGAAATCCACGTGGGCGCTTCAGAAAGCAGGAAGCAAGTGAAAAGTGAAAAGTGCAAAGAATCACCTATGACATGCCACTGTGACTGCAGTGCTTGTCACTGGCTGAGCAGTAGGTAGTGTGGGCACTGGGCACATCCTTCCTCACAAAAGTCTGGAGTGGAAAACTCGAGGAGCTGGGCAGATGTGGGAGAAAGGAAGAAGTAAATGGGGGTAGTGAAAAAGGAGCAAACTAGCTGCAAACAAAGGTGCTAACAAAGGGAAGTTGGGGATCCTGCAGGTAGGGGGGAGAGGGACTAACTAGCAAAACGAGGTTTTGAAGACAGCAGTACAGAAACAGTGACTTCAAGGTACCATGAGCGGTCCCAGTGGGTCCCAGTTGCAGAGTCCTTGTTAGTATTAATCAGGACAGAAGGGATGAAAGAAAAAATATACATGAAGGACACTATAGTCAGCTTAAATAACGTCATACAGAGAAGGTATATCATGAAAGGAATGCCTTTCTTCAAATTGAATTGGTGAGTGACACACAAACAGGAGCCATTAGCAGTAGATCCCATTAGTGAGAATGTTTACATTTATCAAGTACTCACAAACATTTCCACCTTAAAAAAAGAAAAGTTGATATCTGGTTTGTAATGCGTATTTTCAAACCAAAGTGTCCTATAATCACTACAAATAAAACAAGTATTTCAAATGGAAGCATTGTTAGGCAGGAGAAATCACGGATTTCGGGGTAAAGAAATCACATTGGTGAGGGTCTATAATCAATAACTCAGATATTTTTATATTGTAAAGAGATTGTGTTAATTCATGGTTTTCCTCCACACCCAAAAACCTACTTTCTGTAAAGCTTAATTATCTGGGAAAAATATACAAGTAATGTAAAGAAAACTAAACAACATGTTTTGAATGAAAATTCTTTTCTCAGGATGATTTAGCCAAACATATTTTAGAAGATTCTTAGTTGTCAGTTGAACACGAAGTACATGGTGACAATAAATATTTTCCATAAACATGCTATTACAAGAAATAACATTTTTTTAAAAGCTGTCAAAATTCCTCATGGCCTTGGAGAAAAGCTTGAAAATATGACCCAGAAAAAGCTCCAAAGGAAAATAAATTAACATAATTAAAAAAAAAAAAACAACAACCTTAAGATTTTTTAGAGTCTGACTCTATTTTGCATGTTTGAGATCAGACATTTTGAAAGTTAAAAAATCCTAAAAAAGAATTTCCTTTGCAAGAAATGTACTTGACGCTTGGCAGATATATCACTACTGCAAGTGGCTGATATGTGGACCATAATTTGACAAAGTGAATGGGAGACAGATTGCAGCTCTATATTGAAAAGCTGCTGTTGAGACACTTGTTATTCATGGGCCATGGATTATTTTTCAGTCTGTTGTAGAGAAAGATGATAGAGATACTGCTTCTAGAAAAGTTGGTCTGGGTGACTGGTGCATGCTAATACAGAGCAGGAGATGTCAATACCGGATTGACTAGAACATATGATGACAGATAATACAGATTTGACTTTGTATTTATATGAAATATTACTGACGATTCCCATAAGAAAGACTTCAAGTTCTGAGGAGTCTGTAGGAGTTTACAACTATACCATTTGCTTTGCACGGCACTTCAAGTTATTTTCAGTACTTAATGATGCAGGCCCTGAGAGGTTATAAAATTTTTGCTGCTACTTACAGAGATGATTTAATCATTGAGATGGTAAAAACAGCTGATATTTATGGCAGTTATATGTACGGTTTGTAAAAATTAAACAGCTATATATATTAGTCACTTAAATGTTTCTTTGTTTTCTAGGGGACGTATTCGCTGGGGTTTCCAGGGTAGTGCATTTGTGCAAACTGGACTGCAAATGTTAATACTATTGTACATTTTTTTTCCTCTATGGACTGCAAGGCCCTTTCCAGGAGAATTCAATGGCATACCAATGTTTCTGCTTCAGCTCAGATGTAGGTGCATTTTCTGGAAAAAACATTGCTACAGACTAAAGAACATGAATCAGTTTTTAGAAGCTCATAAGGAAAGAACAGTTGTTCAGAAGAGCAGTGAGCTTTTAAACCCATTCAACGTTCAAGTGAATGTCTCCAAAATAGTCTTGAAAGAGGTGTTTCACCATTGTATGTGGAGAATTGTCATTGCTTTTCTTACATAAATAGGAACAAGCACCTTGAGAAACATGGTCTGTATCTGCTAATGCTAAAAAAGTTGTTACTCCTTTAAATGCTATCTCCTAGAATGAAACTGTGTAGTGTGAATATTCTTTATACAGTGGAGAGCATGTGTGGAATTTGTGCCAAAGACCATAATGGAACAATAAAAAACAGACTAGACAGAGTTTTCAAATGGGTCTAAGGACCAGCCATAGATTAAAAAAAACTTCTGAGTTGAAAATAGCCGGAGGTAGAGGCAAGAGGCTAGAGAATGGGGAAAGTATTGTTACTTCGCCCTCAGCCTAGAGCTGTTGGAGGTGTGCTGGCCAGGCAGACCCTTGGTCTGAACCAATCCATCTACTCTCACGTTCTCATGGAGGCACTACAGTGGTTAGGCTGTTAGAATTAAAATGAGCAGAAAGTTTGGCCAAGATGATAGGTTACCTTATCTGGCCTAATGTCTTACCTGGCTACTCAGTTTGGTGTATTATAATGGGGCCATCGGTAGTCACAAAGCATGCTATCAGTCAAAAAGAAATAAAAGTATCTTTAAAAGAGAATCTAGACCAACATATCTTTCCTTGAATCTTACACATCTATACCCAGTTTTATTTGGGATTTCCTGGCAAGATATCTGACCATCTATTACAAAGATAAGATTTCTTGATTTACCTAGGAAGAAGCAGATGTGAGACTGTGATGATAGCATATTATTTATTATACACAAGACTCTTTTCATGAGGTTGACTCATCTTTAAAGAAAAGCTTTCAGCTACATTTTTAAGAGCAACTGAATTGAAAAATACTTTTTTTTTTTCTGGGTGGGAGCAGGGGGGCTACTCTTGGAGCCAAGAGGTTCAGAAAAGCTAAGAGAATAGTCATGTGATTTTGCTGAGCAGGTCTGTCCTGCTGAAATTTTTGCTTTGCGTTATGATGCATAGGACTATTTACTTTTCAGAACAAAGCTCAGTGCTCATCAATTTCTAGAGAGTTGTTAATGAAATAATAATAGGATGAGAGGCTATCCCTTTTGTTGATGCCCTTTTTGATGTCTTTAAACTGAGTATGGCACTTAGATCTGGGATGATGCAGAAGATAATGATGTTAAGATTACAGCATATTTAAAACGAAGTAATTAATCTGTCCTTTTCATCAACATGAACTCAAATCCTTTAAGAATTTGATTCATTTTAAGTGTTGTTGACATTCTGGGTGTGCCCTCATAAGTTAGCATAAATCAGTATGTTTAAACATCTACAATATGGTATCAAAGCCTTATAGCAGTGGTATATATTTCAGAGTATTTAAACAGTTTGCAATGCTACCTAATAGTCTGTCAAATCAAGTGTTGTCAGACAGGTAATGAAAGAGGCAGCTATTTTATTATTTTAGCCACTGCTCCTGTCTTGTTTAATTCATTTGTGATGAAAATGGCCAGCTCTGTATTGTCACAGTTGCATGAAAATAAATTGTTCTCGTCTCTGTAAAGATCACTTCTAAATAGTTAAGGAAAGAAAGACACTGACTTCCCTTTGTTACAAAGCAAAGAGAAAGTCTGAGCACTGTGATGTCTTCTCATTTCAAACAAATGGTACACAGCCAGTTTAACAAATAGAGGTATGGGTTGGGCTGAACCTGATCTGTGTTTTGTATCTCATCAAAGGTTCGTAGTAGACTCATCTGCCATTGCCTGCAGTAGGAATTAAACACACAGCCCCTCAAAGAATAGAGATGTTAATTAACTATGCGAGAAATATAAAAATGTAAAATTCACCTTGCATAGTTGCAGCTTCAATCTATTCCCATATGCTTCAAAGACACTGCCAGATGGTTCAAGTTACCAAATTTAACGTGGCCTTGCAGACATACAAACAGTGGGCCAAGCTTGAAAGAGAACATTTCACTGGGCCTTAGAATGAAATTA